GCAGCATGAATATTTTATAAAGCAGACTGGCCTTAATAAAGCCTAAGTATAAGAAGATCATAATGTCCCAGGAAAGAACACAAGCCATCATGTTCCCTTCGGTCCTGTGGTGGTTTATCCATTTCAGCTCTGGTTAAGTCTCTTGAAGCTAGATCAGAGCTACCAATGGCTCTGGGATCTCAAAAGTTTCTTGCCTTCCAGGGCTGGGGTTGTAGCTCAGTGGTAGAGCGCTTGCCTTGCACTCGTGAGGCCCTGGGTCCGAAACTCGGCACTACATAAAAAAGTAAATAAAAATGAAGATATTCTGTACATCTACAAGTTAAAAATGTTTTTAAAAAATGCCTCCCAGAGCAGGACACAGTGGTGCCTACCTGGAATCCCAGCAGCTTGGGAGGCTGAGGTGGAAGGATCGCAAGTTCAAAGTCAGCCTCAATAACTTAGCAAGGCCCTGAGTGACTTAAAGAGATGCTGCCTCAAAAATAAATAAATAAATAAAATTTTTAAAAGTCTGTATGTAGCTTAGGTGGTAGAGCATCCCTGGGTTCAATCCCTGGTACAAAACAAAACAAAACAAAAAAAACACCTTCCAGCTTCTCCTGTCTGCCAAGGGCTTTGCTCCACCCCAGGACAAAGCTATTTTCCTGCTGATTTTCCTCAAGAACAAACAAATCAAAAGGTAAACAGGGTCATCTGGGCAAAAAGACCACCCAGAGTAGGTCTCTAGTGACCAGGCCTAATTAAAGAAGGGCTGGATTTTAGTAGGTAGGGCTTTGGAAATCTGAATTAAGAGCCCCCTTCCCCAAACCAAAGGAGGACCCAAGCTTGTTGGGGCTGAAGTTTACAGAATGATGGAGGCTGTGTTTATGGAAAAGAGGATACAAATTATAAACAGAATATGGCCAGGGCACCTCCCATGCAAATGATAGTTCTGGAAGCCTCCCTTCATCAGCTGCACCATAAATCCACCTTTATGTGGCACTGAAGCAGGATCAGGAGGTAGCAGTGTGTGTGCAGAAGTGGGGGGTGGCACCTGGGCCCACAGTTTTACAACGTAAAGGACCAGAATAACCTGGGCTGGAGGAGGACACTGGAGAGGTAAGGGACAGAGAATGGCGCCCTCCTGCAGCGCCTGCCAGCACACCCCCACCCCCACAGGGTGCTCCCTCCAATTTCCCATCTCCTTCAACAGTCATGATACTACCAATAATCAGAAGTAAAGAGGCTCCCACTTACTGTTGTGCCAGGCTCTGTTCTGAGTACTTTATCCACAGTGAGTTCATTAATTTTCTCCTTTCTCATTTCATGAGCATCATCACTTTCATCCCTGTTTCACAGATTAGGAAACTGAGGTAGAGATAAAGATGAAATCATTTCCCAGGCCAGTCAGAGAATCCAGACAGGCTGGCTCCAGAGTCCAGGCTCTTAACCACTAATAACAGGAACAGCTGACACTCAGGTTGGGATCACCCTGTTCCAGCTGCTCGCTGAGGGTTCGCAAGTATCTGCTCAACTAACCCTTGTAGAAGAGGCAACCTAGACTCGAAGCTGCAGAAGACAGACTTGAACCCAAACAATCTGGTTCCAAAGTCCATGATCTTCTGCACTGAACTGTAATCTTATGTTAAATTAATGCTTTTTTTATTGTGGATTTTGTTTTGGTTTGGTTTGGTTTGGTTTTGGTACTGGGCACTGGAGATTGAACCAGTGGCACTTAACCACTGAGTCACATCCCCAGACCTTTTTTTTTTTTTTTGGAAACAGGGTCTCACTAAGTTGCTTAGGGCCTCACTATGTTTCTGGGGCTGGCCTTGAATTTGTGATCCTCCTGCCTCAACCTCCAAGTCATAATTAGTTTTAAGGATAATCTGAGAACAGTGGCCATGGCTTCCATTTCTTTGTATCATATGCAGTGCCAACCCTGAAGAATGCGAACTCAATAAACAAGTGATGAATCCTCTTCAAAAACAAAAATTTCTGCCAGGCGTGGTGGCACATGCCTGTAATCCCAACGGCTTGGGAGGCTGAGGCAGGAAGATCACAAGTTCAAAGCCAGCCTCAGCAATGGTAAGGCACTTAGCAACTCAGTGAGACCCTGTCTCTAAATACAATACAAAAAAAGGCTGGGGATATTGGCTCAGTAGCCGAGTGCCCCTGAGTAGTTCAATCCCCAGTACCAAAAAAAAAAAAAAAAAAAGAAAAAAGAAAAATCTGATATTTATAAAAATCATATTCCAGGCTGGGGTCGTGGCTCAGTGGTGGAGAGCCTGCCTGACATGTGTGAGGCACTGGGTTCGATTCTCAGCACCACATACAAATAAAAATAAAGTTCCATTGCCAACTAAAAGAAATATATTTAAAAAAATCATATTCCAGGGGGGCTGGGATGTAGCTCAGTGGTAAAGCACTTGAATAGCATGCACCAAGCCCAGGGTTCCATCACCAGAGCTAAAACAATATAAAATAAAATTACATTCCCATTTCATTAGAGAAAATCTGGAAATACAGAAAGGTTCCAAGAAGAAATGCAAGTCACCCTTGATAGAGCAGTCATTTTTGTGTTTTTCTGGCCAGTTTTACAAAATGGGGATCCCACTCTATGCCCTATTTTGTGACTTCCTTTTTTCTCACTTATCAAAAGATCACAAACATTTTTGCATGTTACTACATTTTCTTCTGCAACTTCCATGGAGAAATACCGTGCCTGTTAACCAGAATGTTTTCCACAAAAAGCCCCATCCCCCGGCTGAGCCCCTCAAACCCCCCCCCCAACATGCCCCTTTCTACTTCCTGCCATCTCCGAATAACACATGCCATTACCTCTGCCTTCCCTGTTAGACCCAGGGTCTCGTCCACCCCTGCCAAGGGCATGTCCCATCCCTCTCAACACCCCCATGCCTCTCCTCTCCTATTTCCCTGTCTCCACATCACTTTGTGCCCTTCTCACACCTTCCCTCACCCATGATCAAAACTTCTCCATCTTGTGCCCATTCCCACGAAATGTGTAGAAACAACCCAATCCCACCAGCAATCTAGTATTAGGTAATGTCTGTTGCAATTCATGGAGTGACAGGAAGACAGTGCCAGGGAAGGCACTGGAAGCTGCAGGGTGGGACATCCTCCCAGGGATACAGGTGCATTCTGAACAGGGCCCTTGGAGGCCCGAAGCACAGTGCCTTAGCCTGAAAGAAGACTCCCCTCGTATAATTTCAGACTACCAGGCAGAGCCTGCGAGAGCTATTTTGGCGCAGGGAACTCTTTTGATGTGCCTCAAACTCCACCAGAGAGGCGGATGCCTAATCCACCCCGAGGGTGGGGCAGCCTGGGCGCCTTGCCCCATTAGGACGGAATGAAAAGCTTTTGAAGGTGGTGGCTCAAGACAGGTGGTTTCTTGATTCCAGCCACACTGTCTCAGCCAGGATGGGAGAAGAATGGGGGAGGGGTAGCATACAGACAGCCTGCCAGGAGGGAAAGTCTGGGTCCAGGAACTGGAAAATGGGACTTCTAGACTTGCTCTGATGACCTGGGTTTCTCTAGTATCACTGTCAGGACAGCACCTGTGCTACTCATCTCACAGGTTTTTGTAAGGATCAGGTGAGAGAAGTTCAGTAAAAGTCTTTGCCAAGGTGAAAGCCCAGTGGCAGGGGTCCATAGGCCTCTCTTCCTCTTTCTTTTTGGGGAAGGGGTTGACAGCTCCTTACTGTTTTTAAGGCACTTCCTCCCTGAGCCAAGTTTCCTCTTTTATAAATAGAGGGTAGGGGTCTTGGCACTTGGGAAGGCTCACCTGGGTTCCCTCAGCTCACAGCTCCTGTGGTCCCCACCTTTCTTCTCTCAGAGCAGCTCAGACTTTATCATTGGTGTTTATTGGAGGTCCAGGAATGACTCATTTGAACAATGTGTGGGATGACTTAATGATCCTGGATTACTTAGGATTGAGGAGTTTTCTGGGACCCAAAATTTTTCAGTGCTAAAACTGCCAGGCAGTTCTGAGAACACAGAGATGGTTGATCATTTGAAGTGTTTCCAGGGGTAGTCAGGTGTGGATGTGTTTTTCTTTGGAGTGGTGTGTATATGTTGTGTATGCCGGGGTGTGGGTTATGTGTGATTATTCACGTTGGTGCACAGTGGATGGAGGGTGGATCAGGTAGTACGTTCAGGTTTGTGTGTTGGATTTCTGCTATGAGATGGTCTATGTTGTTGGTAAGATGCATGCACATGTGTAGGGTTTCTATGGTATGTTAGATTTAGTGTGGTATGAGTAATGTATTAGATGAATGTGATTTTTATCGGCAGGGATATAAATATATGTGTATTTTGTGTTTGGTGTAGTGTGGAATGCTCATTTCACTTGTGTGAGAAGGGGAAAATGTGCATATTGTGGATGGCTGGAAAGTTGTAACTTGGTGTGCAGGCACGAGCGACTGGCGTGGTCTCTTGGCCGGAAGCATGGTGTGTAATGTATGCCTGCGTAAGTAGAGGAATAATGTGTGTGTTGTGTTTGATGTTATGGGAGGTGTTCGTGTCCCTGGCAAGCAGAATGAGTGCTGGCTACGTCTCTGAGTTCTGGAGTGCGGGGTCTGAGATTGCGTCCGGTGAGTGCGCGTGGATTTGTTCTGTGCTCTGCGCATGCTCCGAGTGCAGGGGTGCGTGGGCTCTGTGGGTGGGGGGAGATGTGTGTCATTTGTGTGCCGAACACAGAACGTTGTGGGGTGGGCTGGCTTAACTGTACCGGGGCGTGGTGGTCGCGTGTGACGTTGCCCAAGTGTGCGGGACGCACAGAACGAAATAAGGGACACCGGTGGCGACACGGTCGCGCCGAGTTGGCCCTACCGCAAGGGCGGGACGTCCTGGGGAGCCAGCCAAGGCCCTACCGCAGGGGGCGTGGCTTCTCGGGAGCGGGCCACGCCCACCTCGGGGGCCGGCGGAGGCGGCGGCTGCGGCGGCGCCGGGCAGGGCGCGGCGGCCTTACCGAGAATGGCGGCGCCGCGCGGCGCAGTCTCTCCCCGCCTGCGGGGTCTCAGCCGGGGTTTAAATTGTTCTCTTTAATCCTGGCTCTGGTTGGTCAAGCCGGTGGCCTGTCCGCGAGCTTCCCGGTTCCTGCGTCTCCCTCGGCCGCACAGCTGGACTGCTGAGGCGCCCGGAGGGAGGCGCCGCCCACCCGGTCCGGGACGCCCACGACGGCGACTCCACCCGGAGACAGCGCCGCGGGAAAGCCGAGCGCCCTGGATCGCGTGACCCCGAGTGTCCCCAAAGACCTGTCAAAAAGTGGTCGCCAGAGTCGCTCTCCAGAGACCTTTCTGAATTTCTCGCCCATGAGGGAAAGGGAACCTAGGCTTATGGCCATGCACACAGGCTGCAGGAATGCAGATGTTCCATAGGTTCCTAAGGGACCCTTCCCAGAGGGCCCCAGGTTGAATTAAACAGGGCAACAAAGTAGCTAATTGTCCCAAGTTATATTTAATTCCCGTTGTGGAGTGAAGGATTAACATGCATGCTTCAGATGTGCTTCTGGTGGAATCTACCTCTTCTCCCTGCCTCTTCTGCCTTCCTCCCATCCTTCCTCCTTTCTTCTGCCATGTTTTCATATGTGTTTGATCAATTACGTTAAATCATACGAACTTACGCTTTATGTACATCAAAATTTATTCCTGGCAAATTCATACTTTCAACTTAGTACCCTTTAGAAAATTTCTGTGTTTTACAGCATTCAGGGGAATTGTTTTTGCTTGACCAAAGTCGCAAACATTCTAAGAATCACACTGATTGGAGCAGCTTGTCCTAGTATGATGACTAGGGGAGTGTCCTGTGGTGACCTAGCTTGGCTATTATGGCTCAGGAGGCGATTGTTAAATATTTGAGAAATTTGCAAGCTAGTTGTTAATCCATTCATGGCTTGACATTGGTCCTGGAAGGAAAATTTACATCAGGGAAATCATCTTTCTACCCTATGGGAGCTGGTTTACCAGTACACAACTGGTAAGTTGACTCATTTTATTTTATTTTATTTTTGTTGACTCATTTTAATAATGAATGAGATTTATAGGAGACCCTTGGTTTAGCATGAGCTCCTGCACTAGGCCTGCTGTCCAAACCAGAAGAGTGTCACTCTTGGGTAGTTTCAGGTCACCAAGCCCAAACTAAGTTTTCTTCCATGAACTCAGGAGAAATAATAGTCGAATCCCCTAACAAGCCAGTTCTGGCAGGCATGAAAAGAGAGTTCCCTGTTCTTTTACCTTTACCCAAAAAGTGACTTTAAAACAATCAATCTGAGCCAGGCTCAGTGGCACACACCTGTAATCTCAGCTACTTAGGAGGCAGGAGGATAGCAAGTTCTAGGCCAGTCTAGGTAATTTAGTAAGACTTTGTCTCTCTCTCTCTCTCTCATTTTTTTTTTTTAAGGAGCAGGGATATAGCTAGTGCTTGCCCAACTTGTGAGGTCCTGGGTTTAATCCCCTATAATGCTAACAAACAAAAAACCAGTCTGCTTTTTGTTCTCTGCTTTTCTCAGCCTCTCTGTCTGTAAAACCAACCTCCTCTGCTCAACTCATCTGAATGTTTATTCTAGTTTATAGAGTGGTTTATAGCTCAGTTGGTAGAGTGCTCTCCTTGCATGCTCAAGGCCCTGGGTTCAATCCCCAGCACCAAAAAAAAAAAAAAAAAAAAGACTATGATGTTTATATTTGTTGTAATCTGGACTTGGAGAGACCACGGTTCAAAGCCAGCCTCAGCAATTGAGAGAGACCCTAACAACTTAGTGAGATCCTGTCTCAGAATTAAAAAGGGCTATGGATGTGACTCAGTGGTCAAGTATCTCTGAGTTAAATCCCTTGTACAAAAAAAAAAAAAAAGGTGTAATCATATCTTTTGAGTAGGCCATATGAAGTCCATGAACTCGTTTCCCCCAGAACTATATAGATCCCCAAATAGAACCTGAACCTTATGGGAAGAGTGGAATGGTTGCTAGGGAGGCATCTTGATCACTTTGGGCTATAACTGAGAGCCATAGATGGGTGGGTTACAGACAACATTTTATTTTCCCCAGTTCTGGAGACTAGAAGTCTGTGATCAGTGTGCCAGCATGGTTAGGTTCTGGTGAGGACTCCCAATTTGCAGTCTTCTTGTTGTATCTTCCTATGGTAGAAAGAGAGAGCTGTCTTGTGGCCCATTTTATGAGGGCACTAGTTCCATTCCTGAAGGCTCATGACCTAGTCACCTCCCAAAAGCCCCACCTCCTATCACTTTGGGGCTTAAGATTTCAACATATGAAGGTTGAGAAGACAGGAATGTTCTGTCTCAAGAGGCAACCAGCAAGTTCAGTGATCATAGGAGAAAACGTTGAAAACTTGGAGATGATTGATGGTAGTTCATAATTACAGTTCACTTCAGTTAATATTTATTAAACATTTACCATGTCGGGCACTGTTTGAAGCACTCTGTATATGCTGTCTCATTTGATTTCCACAATGTTCTTATGAGGTAGGCATCATTAATATCCTCATCCTGAAAATGGAGAAACAGAGGCTCAGAAAGCCTCAGTCATTGATCAAGGTTATAGAGGTAGCAAGTAGTAGAGTTTGACTTTGACCCCAGGCTCATGCCAGGGCATCTTCTCTTAGCTTTGCTACACTACATTAAATATCGCCTATATTAAATCTGTTAGGGTACACTGCAGTAACAACCCCCAATTCTCCACGTCTTATAATAATAAAGGTTTTTTTCTTGCCTGTTTGTCAGCCATGGCTCTGCATGATATGTCTTGTTCTGGGGTCCAGGCTGAAGGAGCAGACCCTATCATAGCCCTTCCCCCAAAGAGCAGTTCCCAGTACCAGGTGATAAGTCTGAGTCAATAATGTATGGCAAGCATTATTTCTTCTTGAATTCCATTGGTCAAAGCAAATCACATGGCCAAGTTTGACTCTATAATGAGGGCTGAGAAGTAGATCCCTCCTCCTCTCCAGCACTGCCAGTCACATGGCGACCTGCTGGCTAGTGAATAATTGGGAACTGTTTTAGGTTAGGTTCCCCTGAAGTGGACCTTGAGTCAAGGATTTGTGGGCTAGTGATTTATTAAGGAAGTATTCCTAGGAGAATCCAGAAAAGGAGTGGGGGAGCGGGACAGAGAAGGAGAAAAGCCAAGTAAGGGTATAATTTCAGGCAGAGTCCTGAGCTCAGTCGACTGGAGTGTAAATTATACCTTAGGGTTTATCGCAATTCAAAGCAAGGAAGCTGGGCGTTCATATTTCCACAGCTTCAATCGTTGGTTAAGTATTACTCCCAGGGGACCCAAGAAACCAGACACTGTTGGTTTTCTGAGCCTGGGTGAAGCAGCTCCAGTCACCCTGGAGAAGTTCTCCAGAAAGAGTTGCAGGTACATGGCTCTTTTGAAACCAAATCTCAAAGAAAATAGAAGAGAAACAGAACCTGAACAGAGATCTAAGAAGATCTGGGCAGAGGACTAATAATGCCTCTTTCTTATACTGTCGTATTTTGGCATCAAAGATACATGACTTTGGTTAATGGCAGGCTTTGTTGCCGGGCAGAGAGGCCAGGGTTTTGCTCCTATTTGGAACAACAGGCAATGAGGTAGGAGGTCATCACAGGTTTTTCAATAACCCAGTGTAGCATTTACTGAGTTTTTGTGTCTAAAACTGATGTCTTTCCAAAGTGAAGTCAGATATACAAACTACTGCTATACATTTCTGGCAGTAACCACCTGGAATCAGCACAGATTCCACAGGTTAAGGCCACAGACCCCATTAAGGCTGTCCTACTTAAGATGCCAGCCAGAAATTCGAGGGTCCCCAGGCCAACTGCACTTCTGATTAAATGACTACAAATGCAGGGGTTCCCATGACCATTTCAGATTTCATAATTTGCTAGGACAACTCCCAGAACTCAAGAAAATGCTAACTCACAATTGCACTTTTGTCAGAAAAGATATAAATCAGGACCAGCCAAATGAAGAGATGCATAGGGTGAGGTCTAGGAGGGTCCCCAACATGGACCTTCCTTTTCCTCTTCCTGTGGAACATGAACATGTCACCTTTCTAGCACATAGATGTGTTTACCAACTGGGAGGTTCACCAGAGCCTTGGCGTTTGGAGTTTTTATTGAGGTCTCACTTAATATGCATAATTTATTAAATTATTGGCCCTGAGATTGCAGTCAAGTCTCCAGCCCACTTCCCCTTCCTGAAGGAGGCTGGTCTGAGATCGAGTGGCTCAATCTCTAACTCTCCAATCACATGCTTGGTCTTTCTAATGTGATCATACTCTATCTTCCTTATTAGTATAAACCCAGGCATGGTCTGAAGTCTCCACCGTGATAACGAAGACACAAATATCATTTGTGAAATACTAATGATTTAAAAGCTCCTTCCCAGCAATTCAGGACAGACAAATTCTCCTCCTCCTCCTTCCCCTCCTCCTCCTCCTCCTCCTCCTTTTTGCAAAATTTGAGACAGAGTCTCCCTAAGTTGCTGAGAGTAGCCTTGAACTTGCAGTCCTCCTGCCTGAGCCTCTTGAGTTGCTGGAATTTCAGGTGTGCACCACTGTGCCCAGCCAGACAAGTTTTTATTATACAACATGTTCATCAGATTGAAGAATATATTTAACTCTGAGCAGTTTGGGTTTTTTTTTTTTTTTCAGTGTTGGGAATCAAACCCAGGAACTCACACATGCTAAGCAAGCACTCCAATACTGAGCCACATCCTGAGCCTGTTTTTTTTTTTTTAGTTGTAGACAGACACAATACCTTTATTTTCTTTATTTGTTTTTATGTGGTGCTGAGGATCGAACCCAGTGCCTTACATGTACAAGGCAAATGCTCTACCGACTGAGCTACAAACCCATCCCCGCTGAGCCTGGTTTTGTTTTGTGGTTTTAATTCCACAGGTAGACACATGTGTAAGAGCGAATGTAGCCAAGCACAGTGGTGCACTCCTATAATCCTAGCTACTCAGGAGGCTGAAGCAAGAGAACTGCAAATTTGAGGCCAGCCAGGGCAATTTAGTGAGACCTTGGCTAGGGATGTAGATAGAGCACCCCTACATTCAATCCCTAATACCGAAAATAAATAAATAAATACAAATAAAAGCAAATGCAGAACGCCAAAGAGGAAAAATGCCAAATGCAACCAAGGAAATAAGACATTACCTACAGAGGAACTAAGAGAGAGTAACAGCAGACTTCTCTTCAACAGCAATAGAAGATGGAAGATAATGGAATTCAATCTCCAGAAATTTCTCCCCCCTTCCCCTACAGACTGGAAATTGAACCCGGGGGTTTGAGCCCTTTTTTTAAACATTTTTATTTTGAGACAGGATCTCACTAAGCTTCTGAAGCAGGCCTCAAACTTGTGATCTTCCTGCCTCAGCCTCCCGAGTAGCTGAGATTACAGGTGTACAGGAGATTACAGTTGCCACCACCCCTGGCTCTTTCAGTTGTTCTTTCTTACCAGAAGATAAAACAAAATGATTATTGGACACCATAGAAATATTTATCTTCTTGAGGGAAAGTTAATATCCTGCTTTGTTATCCATTTAAAAGCCAAAATGTGCTGGGTGTGATGGCTCACTCTTGTAATCTAGCTTTTCTGGAGGCTGAGCAGGGAGGATCACAAATTTGAGGCCAGCTCAGGCGATTTAGCAAGACCCTGTCTCAAAATTTTAAAAAAGGGGCTACAGATGTTGCTCAGTAGTAGAGTGCTCCTGGGTTCTATCCCCAGTGTTGAAAAAAATGTATTTTTTTAAACTTTTTTTTATAGTTGTAGATGGACAGAATGCCTTTATTTTATTTGTTAATTTTTATGTGGTGCTGAGGATCAAACCCAGTGCCTCACACAATCTAGGCAAGCGCTTTGCCACTGAGCTACAGCCCTAGCCCTGAAAAAAATGTATTTTAATACATTCTGATGTCAATCATTCCAAAATATGTCACTCCACAGCTGCCTTTTTTTTTTTAATCTCCTGAGGTCAAACCCAAGGCCTGGTGCATACTAGGCAATTACTCTGCCACTGAGCTATACTTCCAGCCCTTTACATTATATTTTGAGACAGGGTCTTGCTAAATTGCTGAGGCCGGCCTTGAACTTAGAACCCTCCTGCCTCAGCCTTGTGAGCAGCTGGAATTCTGGACCTGTGCCACCACACCACTGCTCACAGCTCTGTGCTTGCCTTTTTTTTAATATTTATTTTTTAGTTATAGGTAGACACAATATCTTGATTTTATTTTTGGGTGGTACTGAGGATCGAACCCAGTACCCCACACATGCTAGGGGAGCGCTCTACCTCTGAGCCACACCCCAGCCCCTGCACTTGCCTATTAACAGAGGGTGTGGGCTCAACATTAGCTCACTGCTGGATGGTGAGACGCCCAGGGATTACTGGGGCCTGGTTGTTGGTGCCTGCGTTCAGTGTTCCTGCACTGTGTGTTCTGTGCTTCTCTCTGCTCTTTGTGGCTCGTCCTCTCACTGCAATGGCAGCTCTACTGAACCCTTTAACCTGCTGCTTCATTTTATACACGGCTGTCTGCATGTGGGCCAAGGGCTTCCTCCACTTTCTCCATCCTCCTAACATCCCGCTCGTTGGCAATCAGTGGCAGATTATAGTTTCCAAATACAGGCACCACAGTACCCTCTAGCCAACATGCAACATAATGTGAACACCCATCCATTCACTGCATGTACTCTCTTCCCTGAGGGGACCCAGGACACTGCATGGCTTCCAAGGCTAGCTCATGACAGGGGATGCGGTTTTCCCCCAGTCCCCTAGGCTTGCTCTCTCTCTCTCTCTCTCTCTCTCTCTCTTAGTTGTAGATGGACACAATATCTTTCTTTTATTGATTGATTTTTATGTGGTGCTGAGGATCGAACCCAGGGCGCCACATGTGCTAGGCAAGTGCTCTACCACTGAGCTGCAGCCCCAGCCTGGGATGCCTTTTCTTGACTTCCAGTCGCCATGCCATGAGGACAGCACGTGGACAGCCCCCGCCCAGGTCCTATTCCCCAGCCTGCACCAGTCTTTAAATGTGCAAGTGCCTGAGTGAAGAGTGAGGCCGGGCTCTGGGTGGTTCCAGCCCTAGCCTGTGAGCTACCTCTGCCAGGGCCAAGCCCTGCCTCAATTATGGGTTTAGGAGCAAAAGAAATGATGGTTGTTATTTTGAGGCTCCAAGTGTGGGGTGGGGCCACTCACAGCCGTAGAAAACTGGAAAACTCTGGTGACCACCTTTTTGTCACTGCTTAATAGCTGGTCGGTGTGACCTGTTGGTTGAAGCCCTTTGGGAACTCTTAATTCAAAGCGTCCTTGGCCAATTGTAAAGAAATTCAAACCTTATAAATTATTTCGAGTTTCCTCCTACAGGACACAAAGCTTCTTTGGTTTCAAAGAAAAGAAGAAACCCATTCAGTTTACCTCAGGAAAGGGGCTTTAATGCAAGAATACAGAGGGGCTCGTGGGAAACCAAGAACAGGAACTGCTACACAGTGTGGCCTTGTGGCAATAGGTGAGTATTTATAGCTTTTCTGCCCCCTCTGCGTTTATACCCTATTCTTTTCTCATTGCACGGGCGTGGTTTATTTATTCATCAATTCAGAAGTGGATCATTAGGCCTCTCCTCGCTTCCTGGTCCTCTTTCTGCATCACAGCCTTTGCGATGCAAGTGCCCTCACTGAGTTAATGCCCAGTCCCCCAATCCTTGAAAAGGCATCAGATCAATACAGCTCCTCTTTGCTATGCAAAGTCTCCCAAAGCACAAGGAGCTGGGATGATTACACCTGATGACCTTGGTTAGGTGTCTATTTTAGAACAATCAACTTGGGCTCTGGGGGGCAGGTTGAAAGTAAAGAGTCTCCCAGAAGGAATGTGGGCAGAGCATGTGGTGACTGGCATCTCTAAGACACCTCCCCTTTAAGGCTAGTTACGCCTTCTTGCCAGAAAAAAAAAAATGCTGAGATGGGCACCGTGTGACCTCCAGAGGAGAGCAGCCCCTAATCAAGAGCTCCCACCTGGGTTGGTGGGGAGACTAGGAGAAATGGAGGATCCTGAGGAACCACATCCGGCAGCAGATGTGGGCCCAGTAGGGATGGAGGTGAACCTAAAGGCAAAGAAATCACCCAGCCTACCCCTGGAGTTGGTTCAGAGGGAGTTCCCCCCAGGTCCCAGGAGCATTTCGCCCTTGACCTCTTCTAAATGCAGTTTCTGGAGTCCAATGGGCACTGAGTTCAAATCATAGCTCAGCTCATTTAAGCTGAGACCTCAGGCAGGTTACCCTCTCTAAGCCTTGATTTCTTCATCAGTCAAATGGGGATACTGCACCAACCTTGCAGGGCAAAGGTGAGAATTATATGAAGTAAAATCTGTTCAAAGGTTTAGCAAAGGGTCTGGCACATCCTATCCACTCCCTAAGCATTTCTTCCTCTACCTGGAACTGGAGCTCCCCCTCCCAGGTTGTGAAATGTACTGGGGTGAAGATCCTGTTCCTGAAGGTCCAAAGGTTTCTCATCCCAGTGACTCACACCCTCAAAGGAGTCCCCTGCCTGGGGCCTTCACACCTTGCAAAGGTGAAACTAGGTGCATGAGGCCCTCAGGGAGCTACCAACCTCACCTTCATCTTCGATCCCTAAATATCTGTAAAATAGGATTAGACAGCAAGAAGTCAGAGCCAAGATATGTGCGCACTGACCATCAATGAAGAAAAGTTTAGAGTGCAACAGTGTGGAAGCCATGCTCTTGATGTGTCCCTCTCATTGTAAGAACTCAGTGAAGTTATGAAACCCGTGGGGCGGACCTCAGTCTCCTGAAGACACTCACTGCCCTCAGGCTGTTGGGCAACTCCTCACAGTAGCAGCTACTAATGTCCATGTATATCAAATGCCAGGATGGAACACTGTGGCTAAGAAGAGGAGCACTGGGCCAGGAGCCTCAGACCCAGGCGGCACTCCCGGCCTTCCTTCCAATCAGCTCTGTGTCCTTCGGCAAGTCACTTTCCCTCTCCAAGCCTAGAGATACAGCGATACACACCTGTATTCCCAGGAGCTCAGGAGGCTGAGGTAGGAGGATTTGTAAGTTGGAGGCTAGCCTGGGCAAATTAGTGAGCCCTCGGCAACTTAGCAAGACCCTGTCTCAAAATAAAAAATAAAATGGGATGTAGCTCAGGGCTAGATCACTCCTGGGTTCAATCCCCAGCATCAAGGATACAAAGGAAAAGTTGGAACTAGATGATTTTCAAGAGGCAGCGACCTCAAGCTGGGCAGCAGTACCCTGGTGACTTCAGAGAGTACAGAGGTACACAGATCCCAGTGCAAGTCCTGTCTGTTGGTGGTGTGATCTTGGGCAACACCTTACCTCTATTGTGGACTCTCCTTTTGTCTTCTAGGCAAACCAGTCGACTGCAGTCCAAAATATTAAAGGGAGAATTCCAGAAACAAAGAATTCCTAAGTTTTCAATTGTGCCGCATTCTGAGGAACATGATGAAATCTTGCGCCATCCCACTCTGTCCTGCTTGAGAGGTGAATCATCCCTTTGTGCAACTTATACGCTCTCCACTGCCCACCCCCATTAGTCACTGAGCCTCAGTTATCAGATTGATGCTCACAATAACACTGCAGTGCTTATATTCAGGTAACCCTTATTTTACTTAATAATGGTTCCAAAGCACAAGAGTAGTGATGCTGGGGGCTGGGGCCGCGGCTCAGTGGCAGAGTACTTGCCTTGCACATATGAGGCACTGGGTTCCATCCTCAGCACCAGATAAAAAAAATAAATAAGCAATAAAAATTTTACTTTCCCTTCCAAAATGCTTAAAAAAAAAAAAAAAGAGTAGTGATTCTGGAAATTTGGATGCACCAAAGAAAAACCATAAAGTGCTTCCTTTGAGTGAAAAAATGAAATTTCATCATATGCATGTATGTCTAGGAAACAAACAGGAGAAGAGACCAAGAGCCCTACTTGATAAGCCGTCTCCTTCCTTTCCGGCTCCCACACCTCCAAGTGGCTCCTAAGACAGACTCATTAGTAACAGAAGAAAAGAGACAGAGACAGACAATATCGTCTTTGCCCATCTGAGTGTGCAGGGAGTGAATTCTTGCTCTGAAGTCACGTTATTGTCATCATCAACATGTCATATTATCATTATCATCAAAAAGTCTTCATGCTGGAGTCCGGGTCTGGACCCCTGTGGGGCCAGGAGGCTGCTCTTGGCTCTCAGGGCAGGAATCAGGAAGCAGTGCTTTCCAGGCTGGCTGGGAAACAGGGCAGGGACAGGAAGCCGGGGATCCAACCTCCCCCAAGGGATCACACTGCCAGGAGATCAAAGCAGAGCTTGAGCCCACACAGATGGATTTTGAAATTCCCAGGTCAGTGTGATTCCCTGGCCCTGCCGTTCTGGGTTTCCCCTCAGGTCCCCCCCACTCCTGACAGCCCGAGCAGGGCCTGTCACTAGGGCTCTGCACACTTGTAGGATGCAGTGTCTTTTTTTTTTCCTTTTTTCTTGTGTCTTTTCACACTGCCCTGGTATGGAGAACTCTGAAATTCAGGACATCTAGTACCAGGGATTGAACCCAGGGGCGCTTAACCACTGAGCCACATCCCCAGCCCCTTTTTTGTATTTTAGTACGAAAGAGACAGGGTCTCACTGAGTTGCTCAAGGCCTCGCTAAGTTGCTGAGGCTGGCTTTGAACTCTTAATTCTCATGCCTCAGCCTCCTGAGCTGCTGGTATTACAGGCACATACCACTGTGCCTGGCCCTTCTGATTATTAATTATGCAAATAATTATCATAAAAATTCATTAGATATGAATCATGATTTATACATTTTTCAGTTTTTAAATATTGTGGTAAAATATACTTAACATAAAATTTACCATTTAATCATTTGAAAGTGTATAATGCAGTGGCATTTAACATATTCACACTGTGCTGCAACCTTCATCAATGTCTAGCTCCTGAATATTTTCATCACCTCACGAGGAAACCCTATCACTCTCTTTTCCTATCTGCTCCACCTCTGGAAACCACTAATCAGCATTTGGTCTCTATGGACTTGCCTATTTTGGATATTTAATTTAAATATCATATGATAAGATACACAATCTTTTGTGTCTGATTGGTTTCTGTTACACATTTTCAAGATTCATCCATCTTGTAGCATGTATCAGTACTTCAGTCCTTTTATGGCTGAATAATGTTTGATTGTATTGATAGAAAATATGTTGTTTATTCATTCATTAGTTGACATCCTTTTAATACTTTTTTTTTTTTGGTAGTAGGGATTGAACCCAGGCCTCATACATGCTAGGAAAGTGCCCTATCGTTGAGCTGCATCCCCAATCCTTTTTATTATTTATCTTTGAAACAGGATCTCATGAAATTGCCGAGGCTGGCTTTGAACTTATGATGCTCCTGGCTCAGCCTCCTGAGTCACTGGGATGATAGGTGTGTGCCATCATGCCTGACTCCTTTATACTTTTAAAGTGTTTTTTAAAAACACTTCCTTTCCACTCCCCAGAATCCTGCTGCTTCGTGTTGAAGCAGCACACTCAGATGTGCAAAGACCATATTGGCTGTCTCTGTCTCTTTTCTCCTGTTACTATATCACCTGATTCTCTAAAAACTCCATAAGGTAGTTGGGACAGATATTATTTATAACTATTATGATTCTCCCCATTTTATAGATTGGTGAGACTGAGGCCCAGAAGATAGAGTGATTTTTCCCAAGTTCTCTCAGCTAGCTAATGGCAGACCTAGAACCAGAACTTGGTTCTCTTGAGTTTGGATGACCAAAACATGTGTTGAGCAGTTAGTCGACTTTGTATTCATTAGCAGTATCTTTCCACCACAAAGATTCTGGATAGATAGGTGGGGACTAATAAGGATTCAAGCCTTAGACATGCCTAATGACTACTGGCAAAGTTGGCCACTGCATACAGGGCCTGACCTGGCCAGGCCCCTGCTCAGGCCTCCTTGAGGACACCCCCACCCCGCCTCTGCGTGCTGCACCTCGCCTCTGAACCCACAGGAGTCTGGCGCAAGGGCAGGGTAGGGACTGGGGTTTGCTGCCACTGTGTTCCAGCAGCACCAAGCCAGGCGATGGGGATCCATAAATGTCTCCTCACTAAGACATTTTAAGCGTTTAGGGGTACTCTAATGTTTTGCGCTCTTCCCGGCCCCGCCGCCGTTTCATGTCACCAGTAGCAATCTCCCACCATCCAAGCAACCCCTTGGGCCTATTCCTTGGAGTGAGGAATGGACAGTCGGGGTACTAGCTCTTCAACACGAAGCAGCAGGATTCTGGGGAGTGGAAAGAATACCACCCTGCAGCAGTGAGGGTTTTGTTCCTGCTAAAATAACGACAAAGCCATGTAATGAAAAGTTTGGAAAACAGAACAAAGCAACAAAAATGACCTATAATCTTACCAGCCTAACACAACTGTTATTTCCAAGAATTCCCTTGTACTAGATTCTCTTCCTTCCTTCCTTCCTCCTGTCATGAAAGTAACACAAGATCATTGTAATATTTTAAAAAATCACCTATTATCTCATTCCCAGAAGCAATAACTGTGAATGTCTTACATATTTCCTTCCAGCCTCTTTCAATAACTTTTTTACAAAATTGAGATGGTAAAGAATATACAGTTCTCTCAGCCTATGTGTACTTTCTGTCACTTTTTTTCCTAATAATGAAAGCTCTGTATGTTTATTACAGACCTTTCTGCACCAGGCCCAGTGGTGCATGCCTGTAATTCCAGCAACTCAGGAGACTGAGGCCAGAGGATGAAATTTGAGGTCAGCCTGGAAGATTTAATAAGACCCTGTCTCAAAATAAAAAATAAACAGGGCTGGGTTTGTAACTGAGGGGTAGAGCCTGCCTGGGTTCAGTTCCTCACACCACAAATAAATAAATAAATAAATAAAATTACTTCGAATGTCCTTTCCATAAAATGGAGACTATCATGCTAAGTGAAATAAGCCAGACTCAGAAACTCAAGGGTCACATGTTGTCTCTCCTTTGGGGGAAGCTAGAATAAAATAAAAGAAAGGGGGAGAGAAGGATAGGACAGCCTAAGATAAAAGGAAGATCTGTAGTGTAGAAGGAGACCAAGAGGCAGAGTGGAGGGATGGGAAGGGGAGGGAGGCAGTGTAGAATTAATTCTTTAAAAATCATGTTATGGCTGGGGATGTGGCTCAAGTGGTAGCGCGCTCACCTGGCATGCGTGCGGCCCGGGTTCGATCCTCAGCACCACATACAAACAAAGATGTTGTGTCCGCCGAAAACTAAAAAATAAACACTAAAAATTTAAAAAAAAAAAATCATGTTATATGCCTATATAAATATACCCTTTCCATAGATTTTTTTTTCTGGGGGGGGGTAGGTACCAGGGATTGAACCTAGGGGAGCTTTACCACTGTGTTACATCCTCAGCCCTTTTTTATTTTTTTATTTCGAGATAAGTTGCTGATGGCCTTGAACTTGCAATTCTCCTGCCTCAGCCTCTCAAGCTGCTGAGATTACAGGCATGCACTACTACGCCCAGTGACGTAGATAAAAACATTAGCGTGCATTTATTAGTGGTAACCTTTCTAAATATACATTTTTATCCTTGTATCCACCTTCCTTTAAAAAAAAAAAAAAAAAAAACACCCTTTATTTTATTGATTTATTTTTATGTGGTGCTGAGAATCAAACCCAGTGCCTCATACGTGCTAGGCAAGTGCTCTACCACTGAGCCACAACCCCAGCCCTGCACCCACCTTTCTTATAAGCAGTTATAATTATTTTATTTTTAATTTTTAATAGGTAATACATTTCCATGTTACAAAATTCAAAAGATTTAAATGAGACTTTGTGGAAAGATATATTTTTTTTCTCTTTGAACACATTTAATACAATCCTGGAAATTAAAAAAAAAATTTTTCTTTTTTATTGGGGAGTTTTTTTCCCACTCCATAACCCCATCTGCCCGTTTTTCCTTCCAGTATCAAGGTTTCCTCTAAGTCTTCTCTGAAGGGTCCTTCCACACATATCTAAAGAAATCCATTTTAATGCACTTCTCAGGCCTCCGTTTTTTGTTTTTTTTTTTTTTACAGAAAGAGCTATACACACTCTTGCTCACCTTCCTTTTTTTTTTTTAAGGTGGGGTCCCAGGGATTGAACTTAGGGGCACTCGACCACTGAGCCACACCCCCAGCCCTGTTCTGTATTTTATTTAGAGACAGGGCCTCACTGAGTTGCTTAGCGCCTCACTGTTGCTGAGGCTGGCTTTGAAATCCCAATCCTCCTGCCTCAGGCTCCTTGAGCCACTGGGGTTACAGGCACGTGTCCGCTCTCCTGCACCGTCCTTTGTAACTCAACAATATATCTTAGAGGTCTTCTAATTAATATTCAAAGAGAGCTTCCTCCTTTTTTTCTTTTTTCAACATAGGATCCTGCCCCTCACCACCCATCACTCCCCACACCCCTGGTACTGGGCATAGAATCCAGGGCCTCCCACATGCTAAGCAAGTGCTCTACTATTGAGCTGCATCCCTAGCCTTTTTCAAAATTTCATTTTGAGACAGGTCCTGACTAAATTGCCCAGATTGCCCTTAATTTGTGATCCTCCCGTCTCAGTCTCCCAAGTAGCTGGGATTACTGGCATGAACCTTGCCCAGCTAGGATGCTGTTCTCTATGGGTATACCATAATTTATTAAACTAGGCCCTTAGAGAGGAACATTTGAGTTGTTGGCAATGAGTTGCAAACAAAACTATAGTAGCTGGTGGAGTTTGTCTGTCCCAACTACTCCAGAGGCTGACGTGGGAGGTTCACTTGAGCCCAGGAGTTCAAGGCCAGCCTGAGCAACATAGTAGCAAAAACAAAAAGTAATGCTACAGTGACTCCCATCAAACAGACATTGTTTCACACCTGTGAGCCTCCATCTGTAGGACAGAGTCCTAAAAATAGAAGCTGGATCAGAAGACCAAGGCATTTATAATTTTGATAGATATGGCCAAATTGTCCTCTGGAGGATCACAGCTGCATGCTGTTGAAACTGGGGTCTAGCCTTAATTACAATCCCCATCTTTTGTTATCCCTGAATACCAGAATTAGGTCTCAGCCTCAGACATAAACCTATTTCCACTTTTGTCCACTCGAATGTAACCTACAGTATACTGAAGACCTGTTAGATGACAGATGCTTGCCGGGTTCTGAGCAGATAAGTGAGAAGGCTAGCACACCTGTATGCACACCTTTAATCGCAGCAGTTTAGGAAGCTAGAGGATTGGGAGTTCAAAGCCAGCCTCAACAAGCAACTCAATGGGATCCTGTCTCTAAATAAAATACAAAAAAGGGCTGGGGATGTGATTCAGTGGTTAAGTGCCCTGAATTCAATTGCTGGTACCAAAAAATAAAATAAAATAAAGATACATTAGAGGGCCAGGGATGTAGCTCAGTGGTAGTATGCCTGTACTTGTACTGAGCACTGAGTCCTAGTACACCTGGTAATAATACTGAGCACTGAGTCCTAGTATGCCCGAGGCCTGGGGTTCCATCCCAGCACTGGAGTCGGGGAAAGGAAGTATCAGACACAAATGCTATCTTTGGAATGAGTCTGGGAGCTGGAGGTGGAGAGAGAGAAGCGTGTCCTATTCTGAATCTCATACCAGCACCCAGCAGAGAAGGGCAAATAGTGGCATTCAGTCCACACTGAGTGGATGAACAGCTCAGTCACTGAATGCCTGGTGTGGAGGAAAGGCGGGAGGCGCTGGAGCAGGGCATCCATCAGGGCAGGTTTCCCCAAGGGATTGTGGGGTTTCTTTGGCTTATTTTGGGGGAGGGTCCTGAGGATTAAACCCAGGGGCGCTTAACCACTGAGCCACGTCTGCAGCCCTTTTTTATATTTTATTTAGAGACAGGGTCTTGCTGAATTGCTTAGTGCCTCACTGTTGCTGAGGCTGGCTTTGAACTCTTGATCTCTTGCCTCAGCCTCCCGAGCCACTGGGGTTATGGCTTTAAGGGATTGTTTTTGAGAATCACCTTGTGAGCTTGTGGGCCCAAGGGCCCGAAGAGTTGTTGGCCTCCCAGCTCACAGAGGACAGTTTGGTGGGAAGAGGGAACAGGAGCAATTTCTGAGGGAGATATATATATATATATTATGGGGGTCCTCTGCTCAGCTCTGGACAATGAACATCTCCAGAATAGGCAGAGGGTCCCGTAGCTGTGACAGAGGAGAAGGGAAGATGCCAGTGTGGCTGCCCAGCTCTCAGTGCCCCCTCTGGCATGGAACACACCCACTGGGGGAGGTGCGCTCATTCTCCCTGCCCCACCCCCAGAGCACGCCCTGTGCAGTCCAGCGTCCGCACCCCCTCCTGGTGCCAACTGAGGAAAGGACGCCCACCCCGCCCCACCAACCAGATTCCAAACCCGGAAACTGGCCTGATGGCTTGGAAGGTCCACTGCACCCCAGGATCTCAGGGACTAGTCTCTATCTGGGGAAGGAAACCAGCGTGGTTTCATCAACTCTGACTCATTGACTAGAGTTTGAGAAAGGCAGAACAGTAAGAGATCTGACTTCTACAGAAAATCAAGTGTCAACCGAGTAAACTTGGGATGAGGATACGGGGGGCCCAGAGAGGGGAGGTGGACTGCCTGAGGTCACACAGGGAGGTGGAGGCAGAGCCAGGTCTAGAAACAGGGTCCCTGACTCTGGATCCAATGCTCTCTGCTCTGAAGCAGGAGATGGAGGTCCAGGATGGTGACCTTGTCGTGACTCTGGGGAGCCAGAGAGGAGAAAATATTGCCAGAGCAGGAGGCAGACTCAGAGTGACAGTGGGGGTGGGGGTCAGGGACCTCCACCTGTCCCAGTTGCTGGGTTATAAACCCTCCAAGAATTCTAGCTATTCCACTCATGTCCAAGCTCCCTGCTGGGAAGCAGGTTTGTCAGTGTCTGAGAGCCGCCTGGAGAGGAGAGGCATGGCGGCCACATGCTGAGGGAGGGGACCAGGCTACAGGGAGCAGTCCCAGCCCTGCCCTCCCAGAGCCCAGGGTGGCTTCTAGCAGTGACTCAGAGATTATGGACAATGTTCCTGGGTCCAACCAGAGTAGGAAGTGCTGGCAGTCAGTCAAATCCCTTGTTTCCTGGGTAAAGGGCAGGGGGCTACTTCTCCTGGCCTCGGGGACTTTGACTCCCGTTTGGAAGCTGCTCTGAGATCTACCAGAAATTGATTTTTCCTGCATAAAATCCTTAGAAGAGTCTCCTCTTGGGATTTAGTCTCTGAAATACCTTACTGAGCCCTCCCAAGCCCCTAGCTTTCTGTGGGGTGAGGAGTAGGTGTGTCCCCTTCTCCCAAGGAACAGGAGGAGGACAACAATTCATCCACTCAGGCACCATTGAGTGGAACAATGACATAACCTGTCTGTCTCTTGGGTCCAAGGTGCCTTTGTTGAAGGAGACTTGGTGCCTAGTACTCTCACAGCACCCTGCAACTAGGTTTGTGTGTGTGTGTGTGGTGGTTTTTTTTTTTTTTTTTTTTCATTTTTGGTACTGGGGATTGAACCCAGAGGCGCTTAACTACTGAACCACATCCCAGCCCTTTTTAAAATATTTTATTTAGAGACAGAGTCTCGCTGAGTTACTGAGGGCCTAAGTTGCTGAGGCTGGCTTTGAACTTGAGATCCTCCTGCCTCAGCCTCCAGAGCCACTGGGATTGCAGGTGTAATTGCACCGTGCCCAGCTTGCAACTAGGTTCTTAAAAGTCGCCTTCTACAGATGGGACAGTGAGGCCCAGAGAAATCATATCACCTGTCCCAGGACACCGAGATGAAAGCACCCATACCCAGGGTTCCACAGCTGTTTGTCTGGACATAGTGACTCTAGCCATCTCATAGGTTTTCGCACTAAGGCCTCACCCCCCACCCACACAAGGCCTTGCTGATTGCTGGCTGACTTTCTAACCATAAACTTACTCAGGAAAAATTTAAAGACAACAGTAGATCTGTGTTATCAATATTTGGGGACTACAGCCAGGTGTATAGCTCATGCCTGTAATCCCAACAACTCGGAAGGCTGAGGCAGAGGGATTACAAATTTGATGCCAGCCTCAGCAACTTAGCAAGACCCTGTCTCAAAAGAAAAAATGAAAAGGAGCCAGGCACAGTGGTGCACGCCTGCAATCCCAGCTGTTTGGGAGGCTGAGACAGGAGGATTGAAAGTTCAAAGCTAGCATCAGCCAAAGCGAGGCACTTAAGCAACTCAGTGAGACCCTGTCTCTAAATAAAAAATACAAAATAGGGCTGGGGATGTGGCTCAGTGGTGGAGTGCCCCTGAGTTCAATCCCCAGTACAAAAAAAAAGAAAGAAAGAAAAAAGAAAAAGGCTGGGGATGGGGCTCCTTGGCGGAGAGACCCTGGGTTTGATCCCAGTCTGGGGGGTGTGGGGGTTGCTGGGTGAGTGCTCATGTAGCTCACTGACTTGATTCTGGAAACTGAATTTTGAAAATCACCATGGTGGGTAGCAGTCTGGGTCACCTCACCCTGATCTACATGTGGGTGAGGCTGGGTGTGAGGACACAGTTCCATTTCTGTGCCCTTCGTGCCTGGCATTGAACCATGTCCTAGGAGGACAAGGAGAGACACGCCCACCTGGGTCTCACCCTCTAGTCATGCACTAGCAGACGGCAAGACCTCACACACTTCAACAAGGAGGAAACCCTGGGGCCTCTGGAGGACTGCTATTTCCCCAGGGCTGCCGTCTCAAGAGACTGTAGACCAGGGTTAGACAGGTAGTTTCTCACAGTTCCAGAGGCTGGAAGTCTGAGGTCAAGGTGTGGGCAGGGCCAGTTTCTCCTGAGGCCTCTCTCCTTGGCTTGCAGACAGCCACTCTCCTACTGCCTTGGGACTGTCCCTTTGCACACACACATCCTTGCTGTCTCCTGTATGTCCAAATTCCCTTTTCTTGGTTTTTGTTTGTTTTATTTTGTTTTGTTTTTGTTACTGAAGATTTAACCCAAGGGTGCTTTACCATTGAACTACATCCCCAGTTCTTTTTATGTTTTCTACTTAGAGACAAGGTCTCACCAAGTTGTTGAGGCTGGCCTTGAACTTGCAACTCTGCTGCCTCAGCCTCCTGAGTCACTGGGATTATAGGCATGGAGCATTGTCCTCCATTACAGTAGCATTTTCTTTTATTTGTCTGTTTGTCTGTTTGTTTATTGGTACCAGGGATTGAATCCAGGGGCACTTAACCCCTGAGCCACATCCCCAGCCCTTCGTATTTTTTATTTTGAGACAGAGTTTACTAAATTGATAAATTGCTGAGACTGGCCTTGAACTTGCAATTCTCCTACCTGAGCCTCCCGAGCTGCTAATTATAAGTTTGTGCCACTGCACCCAGCTACATTTCCTCTTTTTTTTTTTTTTTTTTTTAGAGAGAGAGAACTATTTATTATTTATTTTTTGGCGGACACAACATTTTTGTTTATTATGTGGTGCTGAGGATCGAACCCGGGCCGCACGCATGCCAGGCGAGCGCGCTACCGCTTGAGCCACATCCCCAGCCCCTACATTTCCTCTTTTTTATTTTTTAATTTTTTTCTTAGTTGTTGATGGACCTTTACTTTTCATTTATTTATATGTGGTGCTGAGAATCGAAACCAGTGCTTCACACATGCTAGGCAAGTGCTTTACCACTGAGCCACAGCCCCAGCCCAAATTTCCTCTTCTTAAAAGGACACCAGTCTCTGGATTAAGTTCTGTGCCCTTTGTGCCTGGCATTGAACCATGCCCTGGGAGGACACAGGAAAGACACACCTCCCTGGATCTCACCCTCTCATTTTCTTAATTACCCCTCTAAAGGCCCTGTCCCCACATAGTCGTACAGGCACAGGGAGCTTGGACAAATTAATGAATTCAGCCCTCATAAGGACCTAGTGTGTGTGTGTCACGTCAGCTGTGTGACCTCACCTCAGTCCAGGCACTGCAGGCCTTGTTCCTGCTTTAAAGATGAGGAGAAGGGTGTTGGGATCAGCTGTTAAAGGCTCACCATCTGCCAGCTGACAAGGGATGTCACAGCATTTGGGTTCACACTGTCCCCTTGCGTATCACCTTTTGCGGGAGAGACAGCTGGAGCCAGCTGAGTTGGAGAAGGCCATCCTGCTGAGCTGATGAGAGATGAGGGGACGGAGAGGTCAGAGGGGGGGCCTCTTAGCTTATCCAGATAGAAGAAGAGGAACTGACTTTCCAAGCCAGACATTGAGAGCTGGGGGTCCACGAAGCTCAGCCTACTCCTCCCATTTCACTGAAGGAGAAGCCGAGGCCTGGAGCGGGGAGTGACTCAATGCTTGCACAGGTCTATCTCATGGCAAGTTTTGTGTCCCTCTCCTTGGGCCAGGCAGTGCCACTCAGGCCTCTATGTCTCCCAGAGAGCTTGGCATGCCATTCAGAAAGGAGTCCACAGGGGCCTCTAGATATGAGATGCTGGGAGGAGATTGGGGGGAGGGGGGTTCTCAATCCTGACCTCTAAAGGTGTAGAAAAGTGTGTGCTCTGTTTGAGCAAGAAACAAGCAATCGCTATTTACAAACACTGGCACACGTCTGTAATCCCAGTGACTTAGGAGGCTGAGGCAGGAGGATTGAAAATTCAAGGCCAAGTCGGGATCACTGACTTGCACCCCACACAGAGCTCCACATTACCTTTGTTTGTAATATAATTTGTTTAATTCTGAGTTGACACACATTCTTGACAAAAATTGAGTTTTTGTTGGGGGACAAAAGAACTCCTTTTAGGCACAAAGCACAGATATACATCCAGTACATAAACAGATACAGGATATATCTGTGATATTAAAGTTTCATGGAGGAGGGGATCCTATGTTGATAGGAGATGGGGGCAGGGGAGTGGGGAAACACAGAAACGTCCAAAATGGCACCTTAAAAAAAATAATGAATTGGGGTGTGGTGGCCCAGGGCTGTAATCCCAGCAGCTCTGGAGGCTGAGACAGGAGCCTCTCCAGTTCAAAGCCAGCCTCAGCAAAAGTGAGGTGCTAGCAGCTCAGTAAGCCCCTGTCTCTAAATAAAATACAAAATAGGGCTGGGGGTGTGGCTCAGTGGTCGAGTGCCCCTGAGTTCAATCCCTGGTACAAAAAAAAAAAAAAGCAATAATGAACAAAAGGTTGAGAAACACTGGTCTGAATAATTTTTTTTAAGAGAGTGAGAGAGAGAGAGAGAGAGAGAGAGAATTCTTTTTTAATATTCATTTTTTAGTTATCGGCAGACACTTTGTTTGTATGTGGTGCTGAGGATAGAACCCTGGCCGCACGCATGCCAGGCGAGCGCGCTACCGCTTGAGCCACATCCCCAGCCCTGGTCCGAATAATTTAATTTTTAATGACAGCAGTGTCTGTCACAAAGCTCACAAAGTTCCTGAAGGGCTCAGTCGGCTCCTCTGAGCTCCTGTGAGCCGCCCCGACTCACCCTCAGACCTGCCAGCGACGGGAGGCAGGGGAGGCCCAGGTGGGGAAGGAGGAGTCCCATTCCCACCCCGCAGAGCAGGACATCAGGCTGATGCGAGGGGACCTGCGAGTGGTGTCACAAATCACGAAGGCCACCTCTTTGTCAGCCACCTAGTCCCTGCCCGAGACCCCCTGTCCCGGCCATATCCACTCCGCCCAGGACCCCTGCCCTCCTCCTGGCACACGGGTGGCGCCTCCTGGGGCCCCTCAACCCCACAGGGATTGGAGGACACGCCCTCACCCTGCCCCGGAGGGAGGTCCAGGGACTCCAGATCATCTTTGTGCCGAATGTCTGGTCCGCTGGTTCTGCTGAAAGGCCACCCCAGGCGGGGGGGTCAGGAAGGGAGGGGCTCCCTTCACTTTCCTTGGGAATCAGAGGAGCCCTTTCAGAGAGGCTCCTCCTCCCCATGTTCCCAGGGAGCCGGGAGGATGACACAGCCCTCAACGCTTGATTAGGCTGGGCCCGTGGAAACTTGGCCTGCCGGGGTGGGGGTGGGGACAGGCCAGGCCTGCAGACCCACGGACCAGCTGGGGCCCCCTAGGGCTGCGGGAGGGCGGGGCTCTGTGGAGGGCGGGGCTCCGTGGAGGGCGGGCTCTGTGGGGCGTGGCTCCGTGGGGGCGGGGCTCCGTGGGGGCGGGGCTCCACGAGAGGGCGGGAGCCTCAGCGGAGCACCGACTGTGTGCTCTAATTACTTTGGGGAACCAGTCCAGAGTCCCCCAAAGGCACTTTGTTTTCTGTAAACAGGGCAGAGAGAGGCCCTTTCTTCCCTCTGTTCTGTCTCTTCCTCTTTTGATCCTTTAGGAGGCTAGATAGGGTTTGGGGGCTGATTCTCCAAAGACCCAGCTGCCTCCCAAAAGAGTCCGTTTAAGTCGTGCCCCGTGGCTTAATCCCACCCCTATAATCCCAGCTACTGGGGAGGCTGAGACAGGAGGATCACAAGCTCAAGGCCAGCCTCAGCAATTTAGGGAGACTCTGTCTCAAAGCAAAAAAGTGAAAAAGGGCTGGGGATGTGGCTCAGTGGCAGAGCGCTTGCCCAGCATAGGTGAAGCCCTGGGTTCGATTCCCTGTACCTTTTTTTTTTTTTTAATTTTTATTTTTTAGTTTTCTATTTTTTAGTTTTCCGTGGATACAACATCTTTGTTTGTATGTGGTGCTGAGGATCGAACCCGGATCGCATGCATGCCAGGCGAGCGCGCTACCGCTTGAGCCACATCCCCAGCCCCGATTACCTGTACCTTAACAAAAAGAAAAAAAGGGTCAGGATGAGGAGCCGCCTCCAGACAGAAGTGCTCCTCTCCAGCCTCACCTTTGCCTTTCCCTGCCCAGTAAAATGGGCTTAATCACTGCCTTAACCACCCGCGGTCAAGGGGTGGGAGTTAATTGGTATGTGTTGAGTGCTCAGAGACTCCCAGTGGAAGCTGGGGTGTGTGTGACAATTTGTACCACCCCCACCCCCATCCTCATCTCCCTGGAGGCTTCTTTTTACAATGGTCATTTACATGTTGCACTCAGTTACTCCCCAGAGCCTCACTGAGGGCTTGCTCTGCCCCCATATCCCATAGGACTATCCCTAACTGTTTCTAGACCAGCTTCGGGGTCTTCCGAGGCCTGGAGTTGTGAGAGCCCCCAGGACCCACACACTAGAAGGTGATGACCAGCTGCCAGCATGATGTGGGATGCATGAGGGGAGAGTTGACTATAGGGCTCCAAACTGGAGATGAGGAGGGGGGTTCTGACAGGTGGGTCAATGACTGGGAGGGCTGGCCAAAGTCAGCTGGCCAGAGTTCAAGAGCAGGATTTGGAAGCTCTCACACTCACCATGCAACCCCCCCGCCCACCCCAGAAACTTTGCACATGCCGTTCCCTCTGCCTGGAACCCTTTCTTCTTTTCTTCATTTGATTATCTCTGCTCGATTTTTTTTTTGGGGGGGGGGTACTGGGGATTGAACCCGGGGTACCTAACCACTGAGCAGCATCCCCAACCTTTTTTTTTTTTTTTTGTATTTTATTTAGAGACAGGGTCTCAATGAATTGCTTAGGGCCTCACTAATTTGCTAAGGCTGGCTTTGAACTCGAGATCCTCCTGCCTCAGCCTCCCAAGCGGCTGGGATGACAGGATTACACTGCACCAGGCCCCACTCATCTTTTCTGTCCCAGCTCAAGTATTGTTTTCTCTGGGAAGCAGCCTCTCTTATTTTCGTGTTTACAGCAAATCCCTGTGATAAGTTTTCATAGCAACAGTCTGTTTATCGAGGCTTACTCTTTTGGGCATGATTTTTTAATTATTATTACTATTTTTAGTACTGGAACTTGACCCCAAGGGTGCTCTACCATTGAGCTACATCCTAGCCCTTTTTATTTTTTATTTTGAGACAGGGTCTCACTCACTAAATTGGCCTTGAACTTGTGATCCTTCTGCCTCAGCCTCACACATCCCTGGGATTGCAGGCCAGCACCACGGTGCCTGGCTGGGCATAAAATTTTACATAATGTTTCTACTAGAAGCTTCCCAAGAGCAGGTGGAACATCTGGTTTTGCTTTCCAGGGTGCAGATTTGTTTGTTTATTTATTTATTTATTTATTTATTTGAGAGATGGGTCTCTCTCTGTTGCCCAAGGTGTCCTTGAATTCCTGGGCTCAACTGATTCTCCTACTTTAGCCTACAAAATATCTGGACCACAGGGGAGCACCACCGTGCCTGCCTGAAGGTTTATTCAAGTAATTAATTAATTGATTAAATTAGTTCCCATGTCCGTGGCACCCTCCCCATTCTGCACTCTGATCCGTTTTTTAAAGTCTCTGTGACTCTCTGTGCCTCAGTTTCTCCATCTATCAAATGAGGGCAAATGAGTTAAAGCATATGAGATGCTCAGAATACAGTCAGGCACATACATTGTTCAATAAATTTGGGTGCTATGACACCAGACCCAGGGCAGTGGCCTAAGAGGTGATCAATAATTGCATTGATTGAACAAGCAACAAAGAAAACTGAAAAACAGGGGCGGGTGAGCCTGCAGGGAAGGCCTGAGGGTCTCTAAGGACGAGGCGAACTGGGACGGCCAGTCACCAGCGGCCCTCATCTCCCCACCTCCTCGGCCTTGCTTTGCCGCCTGACATCAGCAGTCATTCAAGCTACAGTTGCCTGCAGGTTGTTTTTTGGGGTTTTTTGTTTTGTTTTTTTCCAGTTCTCCAAGAAGCAGCCTCCGGTTTCCTCCCAGGTCACCAGCACCAGTTGGCTCCGCCCCACAGAGCTCTGGGCTCCGGCTCCTGGCTTGTCCTACAGGTTACTAGTTTTCAACAATTCCAGCCTCTTCCCTTGTCCCTCCAGTCCCCGGGAAGCCCTTGAAGCTCCTGTGGGTGACTTCCATGATGTTTCAGCGGTCTCCTGGGCCTCTTTAGTCCTTCCTGTAGTCTAACCTATTGAACAATCCTGCATATTAGATGCTCCCTGCTAAAGTGACTGGTGAGGTTCCTGTCTCCTGGCGGGGCCCTGACTGACAACAGGCCAGGCCTCCCTGACGGGTGATGTCAGGGAATCCTCAAGCCCAAGGCTCAGAGTGACAGAAGCAGGAGCCAGACCCACACTCCTGACTGTCTCTGTGCTAAGGGAAATGACAGCCTCACCGTTTCTGGGGGGATCCTGGGGAACAGAAATGGACGTGCTTTCCACAGGGATGTCTACCTGGCCCTGGAAAAACTGGGCCAACAGTGAAACCACACAAACAAAGGAGCTGCACGCGAAACTGCCTGCTTGAGCAAGTGCCAAGACAAACAGCCCAGGTCTCTGGGCCTCCGCTGGCTTCCTGGGCCGGTGTGGAGGTATCGCACGGAGGAGGGGCTGAGCCCCCACCCCCAGGTCTCCCTTTCAATCCCTCAGGGGTCTCTGGGACAGGCTGCCTCGCTCTGTGCTCTAGGACACGCTGGTCGGGTGTGCAACCACGAAGGGCTCACTGCCCTCAGAGAATGCCAAAGACAGAGGAGCGCGCATTAGCGGAAGGGGGAGGGTCAAAGAATGTTAATGTCTGGGCCCCGACCCAGAGATTCTGGTTCTGGCTCAACAGTGGTATTTATTAAAACTCCCCTGGCGATTCCACTGTGCAGCCAGGATTGAAATCCACTGAATTAAAAGAATGTGTTTGGATGGCGGTTCCCAAATTGAAAGTGCACCAGAAACCAGGCGAGGTGGTGCACACCTGTCATCCCAGCATCTTGGGAGGCTGAAAAAGGAGGATGGCCAGTTTGAGGCCAGCCTCAGCAACTCAGCAAGACCCTGTCTCAAAATAAAAGAAAAAGCCCAAAGGGCTGGGGGTGTAGCTCACTGGTAGAGCACTTGCCTAGCATATGTGAGGCCCTAGGTTCAAACCAGTACTGTAAAACAAACATTGGAATCACCTGGAGGAAAGGTAGACCTTACACTCTGAGGGCTGAGCCTCACTCCAAGGTTCTAATTCAGTAAGCCTGGGGTGGGACCTAAGAAGGTATGTTTCTTACAAGTGCCCGGCTGAGTTAAGCTCAGTGGAACACGCCTGTAATCCCAGCAGCTTGGGAGGCTGAGGCAGGAGGATCATGAGTTCAAAGCCAGCCTCACCAATTTTGGGAGGCCCTAAGCAAAGCAGTGAGACCCTGTCTCTAAATAAAATATGAAAAAGGGCTGGGGATGTTGTTCAGTGGGAAAGGGCCCCTGGGTTCAGTCCCTGGTACCAAACCAAACAAAAAATGCCCAGCTGATGCCCCTGGTCCTGGGACCACACTTGCAATCCCCGGGTATGGAGCCCAGCAGTCTCTCTAGGTTCAAAAGTCATCTCTGCCAGGCACAGGTGACCCTGTACCTAAGAGGGCTCTTTGAGGACAGAGACGCACAACTGTACAAAATGCTCACACGGTGCCTGTCACGTGATAATGCTCCATGAGCATCGTTATCACCATGATTGTGAGCATTAGTGGGTGAGCTGCAGAGATCTTGAGTTGCAACATGTGACTTGGAACCCTCATTTTAATCAAAGCCTCCACTTCCTCATCTGTAAAATGGGGCTAATGATACCCGGGCTCCGGCTGTGGAAGGATCAAAGGAGTTCCTCATGTGAAAGTGTTTGGAAAACTGTAAAGCCCAGTGGGGGAGTTTTATTAGAGAGGGGTCAGGCCCTCACAGCCCCATCCCAGAGCCTGGCCCTCCCTGATCTCCAGGGGACATCTGAAATAGCAGTTGCTTGTGCTCCTGAGAGGAGGATTCCAATGCCTCCCTCCAGCTGCCCACAAGCCTCCGGGCCACCCCAGGCATTTGGCGCGCCTGGGTTGGGGGAGTGCCTGGCCGGCTCCACAAACATCGCAGGGGAACAGATGGAGGGGAGGGCTGGCGCGGGTCCAGCCCATCCCCCAGCCACCGTGCTTCTGCCGGGAGAAGAATGTGGCGGAAAGGACCAAAGCTGCGGGATCAAAGCTTCCCTCCCCAGCCCCTGCCACCCTCTTCCCGGCCAGGTGCCCTTCCTCCTCGACCCTTCCTCTCCCTCCCCAGCTGCCCACCCACGCACCTCCGCCCACCGGCTCCAGGGAGGGGACATGGGCAGCAGCTGCAGGCCCAGCAAAGCAGGGAGGGCCCGAGGAAGCAGCTGTCCTGCTGGGTCAGGAGCTGGCCCCGCGGTTTCACGCCTCTTCAATCCAACTCCCCACCACGCTGCAGGCCTGCTAGGTGCAGCCCCGGGTGGCCAACGCGGAGGCTTCTTGTCTTTAAAAGACACAGGGCGGGAGCACCCTAGTGTGGGGGTGGGGGAACAACCAGGTTTGGCCTAACTCAGGGGCAGTTTGCCCCAACAGGCCAAAGCCTAGACAGGGCCAGCTCAGACGGCCCAGGCGCTCAGGCTCGGGAGTCTGTCCTAAGGAAGAACCACCCAACCCCCAGCCTGGTTCCAACCTTGCTCTGGTGGTGAGTGACTGGGCAAGTCCCTAACCTGGGGCCTGAGGACCCAGGCCACTTCCCAGGTCCAGGAAGGAAGGAGCGGGGCTGCCAGAGTGCTCCATCCCTTGGGGAAGCACTGGGTTGGCTTCCCCGCCCCCAGGAGGCCCCAGGAGAAGGATCTGGGAGGTGAGATCCAGAGAGCAGGACTGGGACAGGGAAGGAAGCCTAGGCAGGGGACATTTATCAAGCTCCAGGGGATTCTGCCTGGGGAACTGCCTGGAACTTGAGTCAGGAGAGTGTCCCTACCTATCTCCATTCCTTTAATCTTGTTCTGAAAATGCCCAGGACTGTCTGCCTCCAGAATTCTCTTATATGAGAGAAACATCCGCCCTACTCTCATGTACTTTGCTTTCCTACTATGCGTGACCTAATTTCTTTTTTTCTATTGTTACTGGGGATTGAACCCAGGTGTGCTTTACCCCTGAGCTGCCTCCTTAGCCCTTATTATTTATTCAATACCAGGGATTGAACTGAGGGACACTCAACCACTGAGCCACACCCCCAGCCCTATTTTGTATATTATTTAGACAGGGCCTCACTGAGTTGCTTAGCACCTTGCCACTGCTGAGGCTGATTTTGAGCTCGAGATCCTCCTGCTTCAGCCTCCAGAGCTGCTGGGGTTACAGGCGTGTGCCACTGCGCCTGTCCTAGCCCTCATTATATTTTGAAACATGGTCTTACTAAATTGCTGAGGCTGACCTCAAACTCGTGATCCTCCTACCTCGGTCTCCCAAGTCACTGCGATTACAGTGTGCACCACCACGCCCAGCTTGAATGTAATGCTTATCTGATGCCAAAAGCAAGGGACTGTCCCATCAGGAAGTTGCCCAAGGACCCACCTTGGACACCCAATGTCATCGTCAGGTGCTCAAGTGCTGATATCACACCAGGCAAAGGGCCTCACCCAGGGGCCCTGCTTACCCAAACACCCTGTTGGAGCCTAATTGTGTAGTGAAAGGGTCTCCGGGGGTAGAGATCTGTCCCCCTTGTCCGAGTCCCCAGGTGTCTGTCACCTCCTTGCTGTCCTCTAGCTTCTCAGAGTGCTCTGGCCCTTCCCCAAGCCTGGACTCCACGGCCCCAGCCCTTCCCACGGCCCCCTCCAGAGCTTACCTGTCCCAGGTGCCCTTCCCCTTGGTCCCTGCTGCTCGAGGCGGAGCCAGCCAGTGCATCTGACAGGCAGATCGGTGTCACTGGGTCAATGTGTCACCCTTCTAAGTAACAGATGTGCATTTTTGACAGGGCCCTTCTGGAAACGAGGCCTCGTGCCCAGAGCTGAGTGATGTAAAGATGACCAGAAAAACAGGAGGCGGCCTGGCCGGGTCTCGCTTCCTCTGCTGCCTCCCATTTCCTCCTCCATCCATCCCCTCCCTTGGCACAGCTGCAGATGCCAGGTCCCCACCCTGCACACCCTGAGAGCTGCCAGAGTGAAAGCGAAAGGAGGAGGAGCTGGAGCAGAAAGAAGAATAATGAAACCTCGGAAAGAGAAGAGGCCTCTGGCAGAATGTTGGGAAAATTCCCAGGCGGGAATTCCCAGCCCTCAGGGCCGTGCCAGGCCCAGGGCCTTCTTAAAGGACAGGCTGCAGCTCCTCCTTCACATGGTGTGCAGCTCAGGGGATCCGGACCCCCGTCCCTGTCCCAGGTGTGTGTGAGGTTGGACTTGCGATTGGAGGGTCAGAGCTAGGGCTGGGCAGGGCCCAGGGGACCTTGCTGGGCGGGTCCCACAGGTGCTGAGGGTTCTGGCCCTTCTGGGCTCTCCCTGAAGCCGGGTGCAGAGAAGAGGTGGCCGGGCAGAGCCCTGTGGCCACGGCGCCGGTGCAGGTGTGGGGAGGCCACTTGCAGAGGCTGGACTGGCAACAGCCAGGTGGTGGCAGCTCCTGGGGAAGCCAGAGACCCCGATCCCTTCAGGAAACTGGAAAAGGTCGGAACAGGAATCTGGCCTGTGCTTCTGGGAGCGTGAGCGGGTGTGGCCTTGGCTGGCAGGCGGAGGGGTGTGGCTGTGCCACCCGAAGGAGAGCCCAGTTCTGGCCAGGCAAGAGGCCTGCACTTCTCAGGAAGAGAGATCAGGGGCCAGGAAGAGGGGAGGCAGGCATGGGAGAGGGTCCAAACCCCACCTGGACGGGGAGGAGGTTGGAGGAGGCTGAAGGGAAGCATCATCAGGTCTTCCAGGCAAATCTGGGCGCCTCCAGAAAGGCCACCCGCGCCCCATGAAATGCAGCTCAGGATAATAAAACGATCAATCCACAGGGAATCGGGAGCCCGTCCTCTTTGATGGAGGCAGGAATACTTCTGCTGAGGTCACTAACTGGAGGCCGGTGTGGCCTGAGGAGTGTCTACTGCCCCGGCGACTGACCCTCCTGTCTTCACCCTCCCTCCCCCGTGAGGCCTCCTGTCCCTCCAGCCACCTGTCCTCCAGATCCAGCCCACCTGCCCTAGGCGGGCCTTCCCTGCGCTCCCGGCCGGCCCCCCTCACCTGGCCAGTGGTCATGGGGTGTGGGAGCAGCGTGGTAAGAGCCGCCCCACTCAGTACCTTCACTTCCCCATCTGTGAAATGGGGTGGTGATGAGTCCACTTCAGTGGGCGACTTAAAGAGGGAATGAGTAAATAGGGGCTTTTCTTTTTTGCAATACGGCGACTGACCCGGGGTACGCTGCCCCTGAGTGACATCCCAGTCCTTTTCATTTTTCCCGCTGAGGCCTTGTCCACCACCTTTATTGGGTGCTCAGCCCTGGGGCTCTACAGGGATGGGTGCTGCAAGGGATCGAGTGTCCCTCTGAGGGTTGGCTGTGAGGGCACACGGCCCGTGGTGGGTCCTGGTCTCCCCTAGGGTGTTAGTCCACAGGGTGGGCAGGAGCACAGTGACTCCTCCTTCAGCAGCTACTTCAGCTGCGACAGCCGCCTGTTGGGCTTGTCCTGCTTGAGCCATCACAGCGGGCCTTCCTTGAAGGCCAGGCCATGAAGGCCACGTACCTCACCTTTGGAAGTCAATAGGTTCTGGAGGCTGGCCTTGCACTTGTGATCCTCCTGCCTCAACCCCCCAAGTGGCTGGGATTCCAGGCAGAAACGTACTTTAAAATCCTGACTGAGGCTGGGGGTGCAGCTCAGTGGTAGAGAACATGCTTAGTATGCTGGAGGCCCTGGGTTTGATGCGTGCGCTCACGTGCATACACACACACACACACACACACACATACACAGTGCCTGATAGGTTGTGAGCTCTCAATGAGAGTTAGCTAACTATTATTTACATTGTAATCCCACAGGCCCCACAAAGGGGGAATTTTAGTTTTTTGTTTGTCACACTATCCTGGTGGCTGGAACAGGGAGTGTCTAGCACATAGGAGGTGCTCAATTAATGTGTGGAAATTTTTAATCCTGTGAACTCTTTATTCCAGTCAAACTCTTTCCTGTACCACACTTCACACATTTCTACCTCAGTGCCTTTGTTCATGCTGCTCCCGCCTCTCAAGGACCCTCAGCTGTCTAGCACAATTCCCACCCCACAGGGCACAACTCAGCCCAGCCTCCCCTCCCCCAGAACACCTCACCAGACTCAGAACCTGCATGAAACAAGCGCTCAGTAAACACTTAGTGGTTTCTGGGGTTTTAATGCTCTGGCTCCCAGACAGTTTCCTCCCTGAGTTGGCACTTTGTGCTTACCACCTCCGGGGATGGCCCTAAAGAAGTGGAGCACCCCGGTTGCTATATATGTCCTTCATCCTGTGGCTTTGACATTCAGAAAGGGCTTCCCAGGTGAAGCCACCTGAACAACTAGACATAACTAGACGTGGTCTCCAAGCCACATTTTCCGGGCTTCCTCCCTGGTGATTGAAAGACATGGCGTTCTGTTTGCCAAAAGAAATACGAGCCCAGGCTCTACCTCCGCAGGCTGCTTTCTGCCCTGGACGGGCCAACAGTGGCCTCAGACTCCCTGTTGACACGCTAAAAAAAGAAATTCCATGGTGACCAGTTGACTCAAGCCAGCTCCTGATGGATGGAAGGCGGCAGTTTCAAAATAATCCCCCACGACACCAAAGGCTCTCCACCCAGTTCTCAACGAGGATAAAACTGGAAACGGTGAAACCCAAGCCGAGTGTGCAAAGCCAGCACTCCAACGGCCTTCGGCCGCCCCGGGGGGAAAGCCGAGTCGGGTCTCCCGGGTGCTCAGGCTGTCAGCCCCTGTCGCGACCCCACCCTGGGGACAGCCTCTTCATCTCCGGAGGACGCCCACTCTGGCATTAGGAGGGTCTGTCCTGAAAGCAGGGGCAGCAGGGGCAGGAGATGACAAATGACAGCTGTGGCCCAGGCTGGGCCCTCCTTGCTCCCCGCCCACAGACGGGCACTGCCCTCACATCCTCACATCCACAGCTCGACCCACCCAGCACCAGGAGGGCAGGCCCCGTTACTCCCGCCATTTTACAGGTGGGGAAACTCAGGCTCAGAGGTTAACTCTCCCGCCGAATCAGGGTGAAATGGCTGGGCCGGTCAGCACTGGTTCTGCTGGATCCCGAGTCTGGGGCTGAGTGGAATTTGGTGTGGGCTGTTCCCTCCCCGTGAGAGTCCCCAGGTGTTGGACCGACACCCTCCTCTCGGTGGCAGCCTGGCTTCGTGCCTCCGGGTGGCTGCTATCTGCGTGAACTTTGTGCTCTGCCCCGTGGACCCAGAAGAAGGGATCGCTGATAAGGAGGACACTGCCCAGGTTTATAGTTTCCTCCTAGCCTCTCTGGCGACATCCGAGTCTGTGCTTCCCCCTTCTCCCCACCTATAAAGTCATCCACAGGACACTCGTCCACATTCACAGCCACAGGGCACACCCCCACTGCCAGTCACCCTCATAATCACACTTGCAGTTGCCCCAATCACACTCTTGCACTCATACACCCACAGTGTGTGTACTAGTGCGCACACACGCGCGTACGCACGCTCATCTCTGTGCTGGTGAATGGTGAGGACCAGGGGGCATGAAGATGTGGCTTCCTGGGCTGGAGGCAGCTCAGTGGTGGAGTGCCTGCCTGGCTTGTGGGAGGCCCTGGTGCCACATAACATTCACCTCCTGGAAACCACACCCATCTCTTCTGGCTGCCCTTCCCAGGCCACTGGAATCGCAGGCCTCTACCTCATTTCATGCTTAATAAGCAAACCACTCATTTTTCTTCCAACAAGTATTTATTAAACACTGTCTTAGTTGTAAACACCCCCCTCTTGAAGGACCCTGGTGTTCGGGAGCTCCAGGGGGCTGAAGGCAAACCTACCAGTCAGGCGGGCACACTGAGAACCTGCTCTTCCCCCTGCTGCCACCTTGTGACCGGAGCCTGGAACTGCAGGCCCTGTGCCCAGGGAAGTTCAGAGCCAGGTGAGCAGCCAGGAGAGGTCCTATCGACTGCCCTCCTCTACAGATGTACAGTGGAGTAAATGCAGACCCCTCTTCCTTCACTGGGCTCCCAGGTCCCCAGGAGATGTGGCTGCTGTCTTGCAGGCACACGCCGTTGCACCCATTGGACCAGAGGATGGCAGGCCCCTGGTGATCAAGCCAGTAGTCACGCACCACAGGATTCTTGGCCTATATCCCTGTCTTCCAGTAGGTTAGGCCAAGCCTCGGTGAAAAGGGCACAGCAGGTGACTGCAACCTCAGATGCTCACCTTTCTCAGGACTTTGGGGCCTACATGGGGCCTTCAGTCTGGAGCTGAAGCTGACCTTTCCCGTGTTCTCACCCACCTTCTGACAGATTTGCTTCAGGACCCTGCTTTGGTGAGGCAACCCAGAATATGGTCCCATCTTTCCTTTGTACCCAGAGCTGGCACAGTGATCTCATCCAATCTTTTTTTTTTTTTTTTGGTACCTGGCAATGAACTCAGAGGCACTCAGCCATTGAGCCATTATATTTCCTATTTTGAGACCGGATCTCCCTAAGCTGCTTATGGCCTCACTTGAGTCAGTGAGGCTGGCCTCAAACCCTCAACCCCCCTGCCTCAGCCTCCCAAGTCCCTGGGATTACAGGTGTGCACATCCCATGCCCCGCCTCAGTCTCTCTTTATTTTTTAATGCTGATTCTTTGTTTATATGTGGTGCTGAGAATTGAACCCAGTGCCTCACATATGCTAGGCAAGTGCTCTACCATGAGCCTCAGCCACAGCCCTCAGTCTCATTTTTACTCATTACTTTTAGTCCCACAGAGGCAGTGGGTGACTTAATCCTACTCCCAGGGGATGGCTGCTGTCCTCAGGTCAGGGCTCTCACTCACTCCACTCCCCTGCTCTAAGGGGCAGCCCTTCTAGCAGATGTGTTTGTTTCTAGGTGTTCCTGCGGGGTTCTGCAGGCCTGGGCTGCTCTCCAGCATTGCAGAGAGTCATCTATG